GCCCCCCATTTGAGCAGCAGCTTCTAGCTACCTGAAGTCACATCAGTTCCCACCTCCCCTCCACCCTCTTCACACACCCCCCCCTTACTGCAGCTACGTAACAGGCTGCTGAGAAGCAGGATTGTGCCTGTTACCTGTGCTGAGAAAGGGTAAAATGCTACCCTTTTAAACAAGGCAAAATACTCCCTCCTAAGCATTAGAAATAACCATTTCTGACATACTTGTGCTTAACCAGAACAAAACTGAGCATGTGGCCTCTCAAGGATAAAAATATCTAGCCAATTCCTTTAGCAGAAGGAGAACAAATTGCCCACCTATTTGACCTAATCACAGCAGACAAAACAACCTCACCCCAGCAGCATTTAGACCCTCCTGACACCGTGAGGCAAGACACTGCTGAGACAGAGAATGAAACTAGCACTTTTTGCTCCATGCCTGCAATTCCCCTTCTGTATACACTGGAAAATAAGAGAGAAAACCAGACATTCCCAAGCTGCTGCATTCTCAGTCGTCACCCTTCACGTGCAGCTCCATTCAGGCTGCAAAGGGCACCGTGCAGTGGCCATCTGTAATTAAGAATATTGTTAAATTACAAGCTGTTGCCAGAAGTAGCTGCTTTTGTGAACAGCAGCAAACGTATCAAACAGCAGGACCTGGGAAGCACCAGCCTCTCTCAAAGCAGAGTAATAAGTAGTTTCATTGAAAGTCTGGCTGAATGGATAGAAACAGCAAGGAAAACAACTTACAAGGCAGTTATTGGGTTTTCTGCAGTGTATTTTCCCCTTGGCCTGTTCACAGGTAGAAAGAAAATAAAAAAGAAAAATCCATCTGAATGCTGCCTGTGCCAGGGGCCTCTTTAAGGTCATCACCTTGTCAAAGATTGTTTGGAAAAGTGTGATTAACTCTGTCAGTGCAGGATGTGGTGGGCTCTGGCGTTCTGCAGCAAAATGACAAATATTTAAGAGGAAAATTTTTATATATAGCACCTATATATAAATTTCACAGAGCACTACATCCCTAACATAACAAGGTTTATCAGGTATCATTAAGGAGCTTCTACCAAAGACCCAGTTAAGCAGGTGTCACACCAATATATGAAGGACATGGCTGGTAATGGTTTCTGACAAAGATTATTCTTTTTTCTTGACTACTGTTCCAAGTGCAGCTTCTTCCCAACCAAAAATTCCAGTTTCATCACAGGAGATGTGCTGAGAGTAAAGGTGACTCTGTAAATCACCTCCAATGACTACATGAAACCACTTGCTAAGGTGCAATGACTTCAGAGAAAATCTATTGCTGAAAGTAACTTCCAAGCTGGAAGCTGATCCAGTACAAACCCAATACTCCAGATAAAATTAATATTTCCTATGAAGGAGCATTTTCAGTGTTCTGTAACACCTAGGAATGTGCAACACGGGTCTGCAAAAGAGAGAAGCAGAATCCAAATTCATCTAAGGCAGCTGGAGAGACTCAGAAGCAGCACAATATCCTGGTCACTCCAGGACCTCCCTGCCATCACTGGGAAAACACGGGTGAAGCAAGCCCACTTCTGCTCTGCCAGCACAAAGACCATGGGGAACTGGCCTTCTAACTTGAGAAATTAAGGCAAGTAACTACATGACAGGGGATTTCTCCAGGAATCAGCCTCATTTCTCCTCGCTCAGATCTTCCCTGTTCTTCTCCCTGAACATCCTTCCTTCCCTTTCCCCATCAGCCACACCACAAGCAGCAGCCACCTGCCAGAGAGCAGGAATCCCACAGACTTTGGCCAGAGGCAGCACTGTCCATCTCTTCTGGTTTGTCAGGCTCTGGGGCATTGTAACAATAAAGTCAAGAAAAGCACAGTCCTCCTACCCCAAAACAAGCAGATCTTAAAATATGTTCTGCTGAAAAAAAAATCACTGTGAAAAGAACTGCACAAAGGCTCCATCTCTGGTAGAGTCTGGCCCCTTAACTAAGTTTACCCAAATTACTTCTCTAATATGGGAATGAGTTTCTAGCACAGTGGTGAAGCTACAAATGGCAAACCAGGCAACCCTAAAAACAAAAGACAAAGAATGAAAAATTAGCTGCTTAAACAGGAAGGACACACACAGAGTCAGCAGCACCAGCAGAAAGCCTCCATTTCTCTACAGAGGAAAGCAGGGTTTCTCACCAATTACTTCCACACAAAAGCTGCCTGCCCCTGGAGGAGAAAAAGCTGAAAACTGGTTTGTTTTGGGATGATATGGAAAGAGACACAGATGAGCTCTGTGGGCTTGAGAAGGTTTTAGATCTTGCTGGCACACAGAGCAGGACCTCAGACCTCAGAGGCAACCTCTCCTGACACAGCCTTTCCATTGAACACAGCAGCCACACAGGAACAAATCCAGTCAAAGCCACTGGATTTGCTCAAACACTGGAGGCTATGGAGCTGGCCTTTTGGAGCTCAGCCCCCATCCCCCAGGGCTTGAGGTTTTAGACCTTGCTGGCACACAGAGCAGGACCTCAGAGGCAACCTCTCCTGACACAGCCTTTCCATTGAACACAGCAGCCACACAGGAACAAATCCAGTCAAAGCCACTGGATTTGCTCAAACACTGGAGGCTATGGAGCTGGCCTTTTGGAGCTCAGCCCCCATCCCCCAGCAAGGACAAACAGAACTGCAGAGCTCTGCAACCAGCTCCACACCAGCATCCAGCCCTTAGGAAGCGTGGTGATTTTATATCAATTCCTTTGTACTTGAGAGACTAGTAAATAACCAGTGTCAGAGAGGCCCTAGCTCCAGAGTCATAAAACACTGCCACCTATTTCAGGAGCCCAGCACATTTTTCACTTGACAGACCAGAACCTAAAAGCAGTTGTTAATATGATTCAATTAAATGATTTTCCAGGACCTGTCTCCCCAGCCCCAAGAAAAGGGCTGAGTTAAAAAGTTGTACAGCTCTTCTGGGAGAAGAGTCCTGGACCTGATACCCAAATTGCAGCTTCATCCAGTCTATACCTGAGAGAGTTCTCAAAGGTCTCACTCCTGCTCCCAAGTGCACACACAGATGGGAGAACATGACAGGTATTCCCAACTACTCAACACAGCAGGATGAAAAGAATGCAAAATCACTCCTGTAAAATCTAGGTATTGCCAAAGTTTAAATAAGGAATCAGTTGTTAACAGAGCTCCCACCAGCAGGAGGGGCAGAAGTGTCTGACTTAGCTATAGGGCAAGCTTCAAGTTACATTTGGATTATCTTCCTAACATGGGAATATCAGAGAGCTCCAGGAGAGGGGTGCTGCAGCTGCTGAACAATAGCAACTCCAGCAGCCTCCCAGTTACAGCCCTGGGAGCAGCTCTGTTCCTCTGCCTGAAGTGGTCTCCTACCTGCCTCCTGGGATCAGCAGCCTGGCTGTGAAATCCAAGTTTGAACAGGACAGTCCTTATGGATGAAGAAAGAAATACCCTTTTAAGGAGGCACAATGCCACTCAATGTGAAGAGACTTTCAATTTTGCCAGGTGCCAAGTGGCAGAAAAAGAAACAAATGAGCAGAGGGCTGAACACAGGGCAGATGAGAACATCCTGGAATAAACTCCAGCATCCCTCTACCACTGTCCATCTGAGCCCCACCAGCACGCTGCCCTCAGCCAGACAGAATTTTGGTGAGTGTTTCAAGTCCTCTGACTACCTCAGTTCTGCAAAACGTTCAGAATCACAATTAGAAACAATCTCTATCTGCAAAAAGTACAGGTACAAGTCCTGTGGAAAAAAAAAAAGCTCTTTTAAACTCCCTCCCACAACACACGGGTCAGGTTTGGTTGGTTGTTTTTTTTTTACAGTATTGCTCAAAGCACCAAAATGTAGGTTTGGATCAACTGCAAATGAAAGCAGTCTGATTAGCAGTTAGAAAAATAAGAGAGGCTTGCAGCAGGGTGATAAGGGCTCTCACCAGTGGCACATGCACAGAGAACCTAGATTAGAGATGCAGCAGAGGGACTCCATGCTGCCTCTTGCAAGTGAACTGCAGAAGGATGTTACCCAAGCACAGTGTCTGGGGGCATTACTGGCATCTCAGCCAAGCCTAAGTCAATAAAGCCAAGGCCTAACAAATTTAAACATTCAATTTCTCTCCTGCCACCAAAATCCTTCTTGAAATTTCATTTAATTTCAAGATTAAGGAACCTGCTGTGGTCTGGCTTTAATCCTCAGTGGAAATACTCCACCTCAAAATTGTATTCATATACTTTAAGAGGCATTCTCAACAGGCTGTCAATGCACATGTTGAGGGGAGTGAAGGGGAGAAGCACAGCAATAAAGACTTCAGGTCTAAAGATGCACCTTAAACACACCTAGGAAAGAGAACAGGAGAACACAGGTGAGATCCTCCCTTTGCAAGGGAAGACAACACTAAGGACAACATCCCCAGAACACATCAAAAAAAACCTCCAGCCACCCGAGCAAAACAAAAAAAAAGGTGTCAATTTTAAGTGAACTAATGATTAGCCAGGCTAATGGAAACAGGTCAATCATTGCTGTGAGCAAAGAGAGCAGCAGAAATGTGAGCAGCAGGTGGGTGAGCAGAGAGCTCTGTAAGGGGGCAGAGGAGCCAACAGGAGCAGCAGTGATGACATGGAAGCTGCTCTCCCTGGAGCCTGTCAGAACATCTCCCAGGGGAACAAGCAGCATTCTGTCCTGTGTTCTGGCCATCACCATGCTGAATTTCACACAAAAACACTCTGCACAATTCACTGTCTGTTCTGGATAAAAAAGAATAAAAAAAAAGTTGTTTTGGTCTCCAGATTAACAATTCCCTTTAGACAGTCTCCATTAAAGAGTCTATCCAGAATGAAGGAAAACAAATATTTAGTTGGTTCTTTTCAGTGTTTTGGGTTATTTTTGTTTAACCTTATTATTTCACCCCCAGAGCACCAGCTGGAGCTGGCATCCTTTGAAACTGAAGCCCTAACATTTAGTCCTATGGAGGAAAGCCCTTTTTGACCAATTACAGGCTCCTCTCTATCAATAAAGTCATTTATGAAGGGATACAGTCTCCACAGATAGACTTGCTGGGCTTTTTTTTTTACATGAAAGCTGGTCTAGTCTGACAGCAGACAGTATTTTATTCACTACTGGTCTCCTCACACCACCTCCCAACACACAGATGCCTTTTAGACTAGCTGGCTGACAAGCCCACAACCCCCTCAGAGCAGCTCATGTCTGAGGAGAGCTGGATTAGCACATTCAGTTCAAAGGAATGTGTATTTGGGCAAGAATCCCACCGGGTGTAAGAAAGCTGTATTCACCCTCCACAGAGCACACAGCATCATGACATCACGTCTGTGGCACCACCTCTGACACAACTGGCATGGCCAGAGGCCAAACAAGATCAGGAGGTGTGATTTGGGATGATGGAGGGAGGCAGAGGCCCAGTCATGCCTATCTGCAGCTCGGGGAGCACGAGGTACCCCACTGACATCACCCTGCACCTATCAGAGGGATGATCTCCTGTCACGTTCAGCATGGGATGACACCTAAAAAACCCATCAGCCTTCAAGAGGAATTGTGAAATGCTGGTCCATGGGGGATCCAGGGGTCTGTGTCACTTCCATGCCTAGCTACATGCTTACTGGCACAGGGAAAATAAAACATGCAGCAGGTTCAGGGAGTAACTCATGTTTATGAATAAACCTTTTTGGTCAGAAAATCAAAAGTAACCTTAGCTTAAAAAAAAACAAACCACCTCAGACTACAATTAGTATAGTTTACAAATTACAAGGTCACAACTCACTTTTAAGCCTGCATCCATTTTCATCCTGGTAGAATTTTCACAGAAGTTACTAGGTGCTCTTTTCTATATTTCTCTCCTCACTTCTGCTGGGAGGACAGGTCTGGTGCATGAAAACTCCACACCAAACCTCCACACCTCACGTGCTTCCCTCTGGGGCAGACAGCTTTAGCACCATGCCACTGCACTCTGTGCTGTTCTTACTTGTTTATAGGAACTACATTGATGCAGTAATTCCATTTATTCTTCTCATTCAATTGCTTTTAAACTCCCTGAGCACAGGCAGCACTCCTGCAACTCACATCAGCACCAGAATTTTAAGGGCTAGTGATGGCTCTCCTCAGCTATGTACACCCAACACCACCAAAAAGAATAGAGCTGAATTGCAGCAAGGGAACAAAACGAAGCAAAAGCCACAGCAAAAATTAAAGAGGGATACTGGAGTCCCTAAGTAAGACAGGAGGACAAAAGAAAGCTCACAATAAAAACGCAGCAGCTTTCAGCAGCTGCCGGTTACATCAGGCAGCCCTGGGGCAAAACGGGGAAAACGCCAACGTAAGGAAATCAGGAGCTAAGGAGACATTTTAAGTAAGTACAGAACCGTGCACACAGATGTTAAAGTAGCTCAACAAGATTTTCCTCTGTCTCTTTTTTTGCTGCTTTACAGCTGCGACTCCCAAACTTCTCCAGCTACTCGGTGGGTAGATCCAGCACGTCCTAGCTGCTCCTCCGTCCTGACGGAGGCAACGGGAGCACGTTACGGGGCTCTCTGCGAGCACCGAGCCGGACCCGGCCGCCCGGCCCGGCCCGGAGGAGGGCGGCGGCTCC